GCTACTGATATATGTATACATTCACTTCAATCGTTATTCACTTCTTAATATGTGTATACATTCACTTCAGTCGTTATTCACTTCTTAAAAGATTGTTTTTCAGAAACCTCGCTTCATTTAACTTTAGTAAATTACATTCGCCATTTACAAACAATCAGACCAATCAGAGCGAGTCTTACAATAGCCCCTGGTTCTTGCTTGTATCTGTGGCGCTGCAGGAGGCCTGATAGACTCGCTCTGATTGGTCCGATTGTTTGTAAATGGCGAACGTAATTTACTAAAGTTAAATGAAGCGGGGTTTCTGAAAAAGCAATCTTTTAAGAAGTGAATAACAATTAAAGTAAATGTATACACATATTAGTAGCAAGGTAAAGCCATGTAGAAGGGAACGGTAGGTTTTTTTTTCGCGCCAATAGCGGCGTACGGGCCGCATTAGCAGCGCATGCATTTTGCATGCGATCTCACAAAATTTCAATGAACCCCGTTCTGTCCCAATAACCCTCACCAAAATATAAAAAAGGTTATATGGGACAGAATTATTCGGTCTAATTAAATCTGTGCTAGTAGTAGTAATACTAATAGTAGTATGTTACTATGTACATTATACATATCCTCACTGACACTGGGGACCAGTGCAGACTTGCCTAGGCTAAAATACCCTTGCCCTAAAAATTCTAGGGGGCAACCGCCCCCTGTGCCCACCTGGATCGGTCAATGGGTTCTAAACTAGTTCTAACTGGGTTCTAAACTACTTTTAACTGGGTTCTATACTAGTTCTGACTGGGTTCTAAACTAGTTCTAACTGGGTTCTAAACTAGTTATAACTGGGTTCTAAACTAGTTATAACTGGGTTCTAAACCCCTGAGTCTGACAACCGCGTGTTGAATTTCCACACAACTGAACTAGTCACAAGTTATGACACCGTCAAACACCGTTGTCCGTTCATTGAAAACGGTACTCTAATTCCCTAATGTATGTTCAATAAGTAATTGCGTTATGATTACATCTATCTAAATTGTTTAAAATAACTAACCTTCCTTCAGAATATGAAATTAAGCCTTCTGATTTTCAATATTGGACAAAATACTTCGACAACATGGAAATCATAAAAAGAAACTCCTTGTTGAAGTTCTTGGGTGTCACTTGTTATGAACGCAGACGGGGTAGCTGAGATTTATTTATTGTCTGCGAATACGCTATGATGTTACTAAGCGCTAACTAACCGGTATAGTACCCATCTAGGTAAACGCTAATCGATAGGCTCGCCATCTATCGTGAACACATTGGAAATTCTGTCGTATCCCTCTGTATCCCTGGGCAACTGCAAAGCGTTGTCATTATTTACGGCGCGTTGATAGAGAAATTCCATGTAAAGAGATCAAATACTTCATTTTCCACAGTAATCAACAGTCGCTCACAATAAATTTCGTGGGAACGAATAGGGCCTAGAGGGAGTATGGTAAGAATTACCTTCGGTGATGTAATTAATACATTCAACATTCACATTGTTCTTAATTTGAAAGTTGAAGTTCAAGTTGATCATGTCGGGACATTATCATTGACTGTCATTATCAAGGGTGAAGTCTGAAGAGACAAGACATGTATACAACTTATCTTACAGGTTACAGGTTATTATATATATTGGTTCAGGGATAGAGATGATGTCCAGCACGGTGATTGGATAGGATGATATGGCATCATATGATGATAATTGATATGTTCCGTTGGCTTTTGAGAAAGGCACTGCTGTGACAAGGAGAGATCTAACATTGTAACAATAACTGACACTGTGTATAATCATAAGATTAAGAGCTTTAAATTTTGGTTCCACGTCGTGGTAGTCAAAATTGTCAGCTGGCACTATAGTATATAGGGCCCAAGGATAGAGAACATGTATCCCAATAAAACCAATGTGCCTAACCCTAACCCTAACCCTAATTCTAACCCTAATTCTAACCCTAACCCTAACCCTAACTCTAACCCCCACGGTTTCAATTTCATCTGGGAGAACCCCTGATAAGGATATATATAGGCTTCATGCTTAGGCCTTTAGGGCCTCTATATAAGATTAGGCACTGTATATATTTATGCATTATGGGGATTATGGGTTATAACTTTAAAATATATATGTCTAACAAAGTAACAACAGTACGTAGCTCTGTAATATAGCCCGCGTACAGTTGCCGCCAGGGCTGGCGGCACTGGTTACTGCGGCTAATAGTTATAGATGCTTACAGAAGAAACATGCCTCACTAATCCTCAGCACGTGCAGCAGCATTACACAACGTTGCACCTGGTTGTTGATTATATTTAGCCTACGTATACTATATACTATACAGGCTCCGTAGCCAGCTTTATGTTGGGGGGTTCGTTGTTGGTCAACTGCATTAGTCAATGGTGTGCGTCAGGCAGGGGGCTGTGAATTACTAGGATGGGTTGGATACCAGGGGGATTGATGGGGTGGTCGGGCTTTCTAACGCATATACTCCCATTTGTTAGAGCAATCGGCGGCACGGAGGTGGTGGGAAAGTAGATCTGGGGGTGGGGCCCAGAGGATTATTTTTTTAAATTTATATCAATAACACCCCTCGAGACATCGTGAATATTTCTGCTTAAATTTCGTTGAGCAAAGGCGGGGTACTTGCCGACCTTCCTGGACGCCCCATCACATTGGTACACGCCCCATGCCAATTGTCAGTAAGGCCGCGTAAGGCTAGATGCTCCCAGTAGGCTTATTTATTAATTGGAACCAATTTTGAAATCGATATGACTTTTGAATTGCGTAAAATTGTAACTGGAGGGTCAAGTTAGTAGAAAAATAACCGAGTGGTGTGGTAGTGGTAGTGGCAGGCGGCACGGTGTTACACCTTGGATTCACCTCCCGCTTCGGGATATAGCCGGGATGGAATTATACAATTATTACACTTAAAAGGAAGATAAGGGGTGGAGGAGCCTGAGGGTAAATTCTTTGCAAATGTTAATCAAAATTTATTTTATTTTGCGTTAAGCGCGGGGGGAGGCTCCCCGGGGGCGGCGTTCTGTTGGCGAACCCCGGAGAGCCCCGCTGGCTGACTTGGTGGTCTGACTTTAGAGTATACTGGAGACTATCACTTATACACATCATATACTTATAGTGCAGACCAGCTGTGACTAATTGGGGAGTGACAAGCGACGTGAAGGCCAAAAATTTTAAAGCTACTTATATCTTGATGATTATACAACGAGTGTCAGTTATTGTTTACAATGTTAGATTCTTCTCCTTGGTGTCACAGCAGTGCCCTTTCTCCAAAAGCCAACGGAACCATAGTCTTAATTATCATCATAATGATTGCTTCTATATATACGGTGATCCACAAATCACCGCTGGCGCTAGGGAGGACAGGTCATCCTCCTATTCCGTGCTATTAAAAACCAACCCGTAGTATATAATAAACCTGTAACCTGTAAGATAAGGTGTAATGAAGGGTGATACAGCATGATAGCTAGTGTCATTCGTACTAATTTGACCTTCTAGCTTCCGTTGATAAATATGAAATGCAGTCCATTGGATAATGAAGAGAGTAATTTAGCTGTACGAGCATGATCAACTTGTGGACTATCAACTTTCAAATTCAAGAACAATTGGTGAATGTTGAATGTCGAGTTTAGATATACTATCAGCCGTATAGTTTAATTTCATTACCAATAACTCAACTGCGTAGAAGCGGATTTCTCTTATTCGAAAATTGTATAAGGAACG